CCTGACCCTTCCTTGTCATGACCCTTGATGTGAACAAGTCTGGGAAGCTGTGGACATTTGGACAAGTGTCAGGCTGTGACTGCACTGCCCCCTAGTGGCCAGTTATCATTACTGCGCATACCTTGCATTTGCAGAGATTATATGACCGATTCTTAGCTAGTGCCATGTGCGCGCTGTGTGTTGGTGGGCTTCTGCTTATTAAAACGCACCTGCAATAACAATTTTAATTTTAAAAAACATACAAATATTAAAATACAAGAATTATATATATATAATATGTATATACAGTATATATATATTTTTCAGATGTGGTGGGTGCATTCATTTTTGGGCTTTTTTTCCTTTTGTTTTAACCTGTTGATCCTGGTGGTAACACACTTCCTGTCCTAGGGTGACTATGTTCACTCACTGTACTGTATCATTGGAGGAAGCCATGGGCGTTCTTGAATTCAAACATGTCTGCCACAGTTCACCTCCATTATATGTTGGTTGATGAGATTAGCAGTTTGGATTCTTTTATGCATTAGGGCAGGGGAGGGCAACTTCGGCCCTTTAGCTGTTGTGGAACTACAAGTCCCATGAGGCATTGCAAGACAGTTACAAGCATGACTCCCAAAGGCCACTTTGTTGTTGGCATTTGTAGTTAAAGCACAGCTGGAGGGCCAGAGTTGCCCACCCCTGCTTTAGGGTCAGCTCACAGGAAGTGACAAGGAACTGGCATTTCTGGCAGGATCTACAGGTATTTTTCTGTACTTGCTGAAAATGTTCTTTGCCTTAAAAAAAGAAAACGAATGCAGCCACCACATCTAAGGACCGGTGAGCTCCAGTATATGACATTTTTGTTTTATGGGTTTAGATAAGCTTTAATAGGAGCAGAAAAACCTCAATGGCTGGATGAGGCCCATTCATCTGACCGCCTACACAAAGCTATGGCTAATTTAGGGTCAACGTTGACCAAGCAAGCCAAACGCAGCATGCTCAGAGTTGCCATTGGGGAAGGCTTGCTTTTGAGATGCTTCTTAGCTGTATTCAAACTGACTTGTATAAGGGAATAAAGCAAGGCAGACAAAGCAGAATGGTTCCTGCTGGATTTAGGAACGCAACTCAATCGCATTTTCTTTTCCGAAAATATATATAAGCATTATCCTGGAGGGTTTCTGTTCTCCTTCAGTTAGGTGTTGAATATCTGCTGGGGGAGACCATTGTTGGTCCTTTGAGCTCCGAAGATTCCATTCTGTTCTGTGTTTTCAGTCTGATCTAGTGAGAGTTCTTCTTCAACCGCATAGAACATTCCCAAACCAGTTCTTGGCTGAATGTGGACAGTATGGGGTCTATTCATAAAAAACTCTCATAGTTTCTTCATTCCTTCTGTGTGAGAATGGGGCCAAATCCAAATGTTCTTGGTGTAATTTCTCTTCTGGCTGAATGTTCTTCCAAAGGGGAAAAATACTACATTATGCCCACTGGATGGATGACTCGAAACTGAAGCTCATCCCTACGGTAAATACTACAGCATGCAAATAAATTGTAAACATTTGTAGTAACAGTTTGGTGAAGGTCCTTTTCTGTTCCACCATGACTGTGCCCCTGTGTACAAAGCCAGCTCCATAAAGACATGGTGTGACCAGTCTGGTGAGGAGGATCTCACATGACCTGCACAGAGCCCTAACCTCAACTCTACTGAACACCATTGGGATGAATTAGAATGGTGATGGTGAGCCAGCTCTTCTCATCCAACATCAGTACCTGTCTTCACCTATTCACACAGGCTCCAAAATCACAGACTCCAAAATCTTGTGGAAAGGCTTCCCAGAAGAGTGGAGGATGTTGAAGCCTCAAAAGGGGGGTGGGGGGCAACTCAATATTATGGCCATGGTTTGGGATGTCCAAGAAACGCATGTAGATGTCCAGGTGTCCACAAGCTTTTGGCCATATAGTGTGCATGTAAAAATGGAGCAATAGTTTGGTGTGGTCCAACTTTGTGGTAACAGTTTGGTGAAGTTCCTTTTCTGTTCCAGCATGACTCGGCCCCTGTGCACAAAGTCATCTCCATAGAGACACCTTTGGGATGAATTGGAAAGCTGATTGTGAACCAGGTCTTCTCATCCAACATCAGTACCTGACCTCACAAATGGTACAAATTCCCACAGACACCAAACATTTGTGAAAAGATGGTCAGGTGTCCACAAACCAATAGTGGAGCAATAGTTTGGTGTGGAGGAACTTGAGTGCCCTGGACAGAGCCCTGACCTCAATCCTACTGAACACCATTGGTTAGCCAATTGTGATCTAGGTCTTCTCATCCAACATCAGTACCTGTCCTCATCAATGAGCACAAATTCTCACAGACACCAAGATCTTGTGGAAAGCCTTGTCAGAAGATTGGAGGCTGTTATAGCTGTAAAGGTAGAGAGGGTGCAACTCCATATTAATGGCCATGGCTGGGGAATGGGATGTCCAATAAATTCACATAGATGGTCGGGTGTCCACAAGCTTTTGGCCATTTAGTGTGCATGTAAAAGTGAAGCAATAGGTTGGTGAGGAGGACCTCGAGTGTCCTGCACAGAGTCCTGACCTCAACGCAACGGAACACCATTGGGATGAATTGGAATTCCAATTGTGAACCAGGTCTTCTTATCCAACATCAGTACCTGACCTCACAAATTCTCTCAGACACCAAGATCTTGGGGAAATCCTTGTCAGAAGAGTGGAGGTTGTTATAGCTATAAATATGTGTGTGTGGGGGGGGGGGGGGGGCGCCCGAGTTTTGTCTTGCCTAGGGCAGCCCCAAACCTAAATACACCACTGCATG